TAGCATGCTGTTTAGCTCACTTGGCATGCTTTGTGGGAAACGTGTATTATTGGAACAAAATTGCCCATCCCCAAATGTTACTTAGCCCTCATGTATTGCTATTACAATAAAAGCAATGACAGTTTTTGCTCAATTTTTGAGCATTTGTAAAAATTCAACATTGATAGAAATCAGCAAAATTTTTCTATGCCATAAAGAAGCATCATATTGTTTAAAACCTATTTCAACAAAAATTAAGGAGGTTGCGCTGCCTTTTAAAAAATTTTTATAGCAATATAATGTGCAAATTCTATACTGCAGACAAAAACTTTATACTATGGACTGTGATCTAAAAATTAGCATACATTAAATGGCACTCATTATTGCTATTAGGCTTATCTTGATGAAATCAATACATCTTCTTGTATGGGACTTTTCAAAGAAATTATAATTGATAGGACCATTGATGGAGAGGTTTGATAAAATTGCTATAATCTAATATTATTATTATTTTATGTTAGGCAATGTTAGACAATGTTTTTATCATAGCTGCTTGTAATCCTTTACGTGGAGATAGTACAATTCATTTACAAAATGCAAAAAATGTTTGGGTTAAGCCAAGTTATTATGTTCGTGAGCTTCATCCTACAATTGATTATCTGAAATGGGACTATGGAGCATTGAATAACGTTCAAGAAGAAAAATACATTGCTGCCAAAATGAATGATTGTACAAAAGATCAACCTGAGGCTTTTACTCCTGGTGATTTAACTTATTTCATTGTTGAAAGCCAAAATAAAATGAGGTTATATGCTGATAGAATGTTGAAAAATAAAGGTATTCATAAAATGGAAGCCGAGAAGTGTTCTAGAAGTTGTGTAAGTCAAAGAGATATTCAACGAGTATTTGATTTCTACAAGTGGTTATTTGATACATACAAAGCCTTCCAACGCTATACAACTACTAAAGAACAACAAATACGAGCATTACTAGTATCACTGGGCTTAGTATACTATTTGAGACTACAAGAATTGGACAGAGAAAGTTATGCTATATTTCTGGACACTCAATGTAAAGACCTGCTAGTTGGATGTAACTTTACTACAGCTTTCAATGATGAATTAGAATGGTATATAGAGAGAATGAATCTACCTCCTGGAATAGCCAAGACGAGAGCTTTGAAAGAGAATATATTTGCTAACATAGCTTGTTGTCAAACACATACCCCTCTCATTATCATTGGAGAGCCAGGAACATCAAAAACACTATCATTTAATTTAGTTAGTAGCACCTTCAAAGGAAAATCCTCTAAGAATGAAGAATTGAAGAATGCAAATGCTTTCCATGCCTTACAGCCATTTTTTTATCAATGTTCGAAACACACTAATTCAGTTGAGGTTGAAAATATTTTTAAGCAGGCAATTCAGCGTCAAAGGGTCTTTGCCAGTTCTAATGTTCCCACCTATTGTGTCGTTTTTATGGATGAAGCTGGTCTACCTGAAGAACGTCATGAGTCACTTAAAGTTTTACATTATCATTTAGACAAAAGAGAAGTATCTTTTGTGGCTATCACTAATCATGCACTGGATGCTGCTAAAACTAATCGTGCCATCA